TCCCTTGATTCAAGAGAGCTTCAAATTCATTCCTTTCATCTGTAGTTAACGCATTCCACAATGCATCTGGATCGTCAAGATTTAAGTCTTTTATTCGATCGTGCAAGTCTATTTCTTCTTCATCATCCGAGTCTATCGGTTCATCATCTTCACAGTTTTCATCAAGGTTTTGTAACATTTCTTCGATATCATCTGGATTGCCTAAATCTTCATTTTGCATTTTCTTGAGTATTTCAATCATTTTGCGTTTGGATTCATCGTCTGCCTGATGTGAAGCCAATTCTTCGTTGACACAGTCTTTATAGAAACTTTCTGAGCATGTCAAGTGTTTCTCTGACTTGTAACAGTCCAGAGAGCAATAGAAAACATTGCAGCGTGGACAGCAGTATTTGCTTGACTTTTCATTACACCTGAAATTATATTTCGAATAGTAAACAGGGGAATCCCATCCCATAGAGGTTATGAAAGATGCGATCACGTAAATACTTCAAATAATTTTCCTGATTGAAATGTAAATATGAATATAGGTAGGTATCAATCTTTACATTGTTATTTCATAAATAATATCAGAAATAAAATAAACTTATAGAAAAGGCATGAAGGTGTACAATACTTACAAGCCGCATATATTTTGAGAATTAACTTCAGAAGTTTGCTCAGACATGATGATAACAAAATTAGCAGTAGGAAAATAATAATTATGTATCAATTTTTATAGCTTTATAGTTACCTATTGTTAATTACAATTGATTACAATAATTATTTGATCAAAACAACAGAAAAAAGGCAAGTGAACTGACAGATGTCATAAACAAACAGCTGTTCACTGAAAAAACAAAAACTTGAGTTTTGTTACCCAAGTACAGTAGCATTTATTTGAAGTAAACCTAAAAACCTGCTCAAAATTAATGAAACCATTTAATAGAACTTAATAAATTAGATGATTGGTATTATTATCATGATTTAAAAGTACCAATTATTTAAAGTAAGTAAGAATTTTAAGGATTTCGATTTACAATTTCCTAAAACGAAACGAAATGTCAAAAACAGCTGACTTTTCAAACGAAAAATAAACAAAAAGAAAAGTTGTGGAGGGCACTCGATAAAAAGTTACTTTGCTGTTTTTATTTAAAAAGTAATGGTTAACTCACCATGTCTAAGCCAGAGTTGGTGGAAGACTTCTTCGGAGTCTACTTACTCTACAATATAAATCCAAAATATAAGGGGCGCACTTACATCGGCTATACGAGAGACCCGAACCGGCGAATCTTGCAGCATAACAGAGGCACTTGGGCTGGAGGCGCTCACAGGACTAGCAATAGAGGACCCTGGTAAGTACTTAAAAATGCTCCTCTTTTTCCTCTCAGAAATATCTTGCATGTGGTGTAATATTAATTAGGGCCGCAACTGCGACTGCCTGGTGTAGTGGTACACCACTTACCTTAGTGGTACCTTACAAGGTAGGTTAGTTAGGTAGTCATTTGTGTGATGTCCATAGCATTAAATATTTCTTTCTTTCTAACACTAGCTTCAAATTTGTGAGTCCTTGGTACCGTTAGATACGACTTAGTAGTACCATAATACCATATTTCATACAGTACTTAAAGTACAAGTTATAAGCCTGCAATATCCTAACCAAACTGAGACTAAATAGTTATTTAATTTTTTTGCCTTAAGAGTCGCATCTCAATTCGTGGGTTCAATTCCCGCCTTAGGCAGTTCGATTTTTTCAATTTCTTTATAATTTTCAAATGAGACTAAATACTTACACAAAGTTGATAAAGTGTTGTTTACTCTATACTTGTAATAACATAAACTTTACAAAGTAACTCTTTGGAAAATTTTCTATTCACTATGTCTCTATTTCAGGAAGATGGTGATGATAGTACATGGTTTTCCAAATAACATATCTGCATTAAGGGTAAGTACCCCATACGTGTCCCTGTGGCATAGAGGTGGACCAATTCGGTCACCACGGTCTATGTTGCCAGCAAAGTGCTGGTCGTCTCGCCCGACACACTGCTCTCAACGCATTTTTGAGTAAAATAAGTTTATATTTTTATTTTGTTTAGAGTTAAGTTTGCCTTAGTTTAAAAAAAAATCTGTTTATTGTAAATAAAGACAGTTACTTTATTTTATTTATTTTAGGTTTAGGAGCTGCATAACCTATGTCTATGGTAACAAACTGTTACCTGTAGGTACTGTATGCTTATCAGATTATTAAAATTTTCTTTAAAAAAATTATGAAACTAATTCTTTTTAGTTCGAATGGGCCTGGCAGAATCCTACCAAGACTATAAGACTGCAGTATTTGAATCTGAAGAAAATACCTAGAAAGGAGACGGAGTACCAGTTCAAGCTCCGAGTTCTTAGTGAAATGCTAAGAGTTGGGCCATGGTGTAGGCTTCCACTTATCATAAGATGGCTTGAGAACGAGTACTTTGAAGAATTTCCTGTAAGTAATAGTACTAATAATATTATAATGTGCAAGTTTGTGAGATTGAGAATGGATGTTTGTTACTCTTTCACATAAAACCTGCTAAATGGATGTGGAACTTTAGTGTTATTGTAGTAGATTAACATTTAGAGTAGGCGCACACCGTTGATTTTTCGTCGGCCGATAGTTTATAGTCCAGTCAATAAAGCATTATAGATGGAAAACTGTAGAACACAATTTCTGACTTCAGGACTTTATTTAGACTAGTTAGGAGGTGAACATAGCAAAAGTCCCCGCCCTTAGCCCTTGAGCCGGCGGGGAGAGGGGGGTTTAAAGGTGCCACTTTTCGGTTTTTCGCTTAATCCTCGGAAACTATGCGTCCTAGTGACATGACTACTTTGAACCAAA